ATGTCGACATTACATAAAATTAAAACGTTGTAAGGGTGAATTAGGAGTTAATAGGTATTATAGAGAAACAATATTTATTTCGGCGAGCGAAACCGCGGGGAAAAGCTAGTATTGGAATAAATATGACTTAATTCAGAGGCGTAACGTAAAGGGGGCGCTTGTCCAAGCTGATACTTCGTTAAGGGGCAGTAAATTTTGAAAACATTTCTGAATACAAATTTTACTAGATAGGTATGTATCTATATTTACCAACTAAAAAATAATTGCATGGTTCCGTTTTCCTAGTGAGTAGGAAGCGGACAGTTTCGATTTTTAATTGATGGTGATTGAGAGACCCGGCGGTAGAATTAACCTTTTCCCCGATGGATGAGATGTAAGTAATTCAGGATGTTATTGTTCGTAATTACTCTCCGTCTGGCTTATCAGCATGGCCGTGTACAACTACATCCCAGTCTATTATTTAATGTGACACCGGAATCCATAATCTATAAATTAATGCGCGAACATATGAGCGGTTATTTACAGTTATGGAATTATTATTATTATCCCGTGGCGTGCAAAACAACGGGTGGGTGTAGGAAAGAAACGTTTTACTACAAGGAAAAAATGTTGACGGATAAATTGCCCCTTTCGTACATGCGAGACGTTATTTCGCGTTAGTTGGGCTCCGGTTCCACACATTACAATATGTAAGTGTGCACAATGATTCAAATGTACAAGGTGGGTGAGACATTTTAGACACTGGTGTAATAAAATCATTATTTATAATCGTGTATTTAGTAAAGAACAACGCCATATATCATGAGCTACACAAATGGCGTTAGGAATTACGTTGAATTAATGGGAAAACCAAAATATATATGTCTACATATAGAAAATATTCTACACTAATATTTTCCTGTGGACACTTACGAATAATTTTAATGAGAAGTGTATTTTTTATCAATATGAAAAGATAGTTTGTATTAGTACAGTCTATTTCAATTTGTTAGAATTGTGACCTTGAAGAAATATTCGCGAAAATAGAAAGAATACACACTAGGCGTGAGCAAGACAGAAACGGTTGGAGCACGCTTGAACGAGCAGAGCTCTCGATGGGCGGTCTTAGGAGATCGGCTAGAACTGTACAGTACTAGACGAAAATGTTTAGCAATTTCTTAAAACAAAAATGTATATAAATTAACAGTAGAAAACAAATCAAAAGTTTTATAGGTGTATNATTAATAACATATTAAAAAGTGGAATTATATAGGTAGTTAATAGAAACAAAATAAGAACAATGTATACTTAAATGATATTTTTAAAATTCTTACAGGTTATCACCCATTATTTGATGTACTTTCTAAATATCTTGGTGTTACTTACTTAAAATAGTATTTTTTCTATAAAATGTAGTTAATATAAAAACAGAATCTTTACGTAGTAACATATTCCTTTATCATACAATGTAACAATCTATAGAAGAATTGCTTGATACATTTTGCTCTTAAAAAGTAACCTTAATTTCATGGAGGTTTGTCGTAAACCATAACTATCAACCAACCATTTTCTCTCCATAATTGAGGTTCCAAGTTACATGAATACAAAATAAGGATACAATTTGCATAAATTGAGGGATATTGGTACGGAACTGCATCTTATGCAGTATATGTATAAAAATAAGCGAGACGTAAAAGAATTTTTAAATTATATTGTTTGCCAGTAAGTAACAGTCTAGGATTTAACAAAACAGCTAAATCTCTCTAAAAACTATTGTACCTATGTAAATTCCTTCCTAACTAGGTTAGAACTGGGATTTAGATGTTTTCAATTGTACGAATCATTACTTTTAATTATTCGTTTACTAGAATTATTTTACAAGAAAGAGGTAAGATAAAAATGTTTTTTTTTTGTTCAAATCGTATTTGTATGACTAATTTATTAGATTCAGTTATACTTTTTTATTTTATATGAGAGAAAGTTGGTACTTTTAGTACTTTAATTATTGTTACTAGAAATTACCTATGTCGTTTCAAAAATAAAAGTAGTAAAACTAGAGCTTTCTTTGCTACTTTTAAGTCTATCCCTGGTGGCAGACTTTATAAATATTTTTGGGTAATATTCAAATAACTTTTGCTAATTAGTATGGGTAAGAACATATTTAATGTTTTTACTATAATTTTTTAACTGAGTTTAATAGATACAAACTTAAAAAACTAAAAAATAGTCGCGGAACTACTAAAAAACGGTAGCAAATACTGTTTGAATTTGCTCTTTATAACTTTTTAAAATGATACTTAATAAATAATAAATTCCCCATAATATGCTGTAAAGTGAGTGCATAAATTTAAACAAGTGAGACTTAAAAGACCGATAGCGTCAATTTTCCCTTATCAGTTGTATTTTTCGCAGACCAAATTGTACTGATAATTTTCGTCTTCAGCCACTTTTCTAAACATTAAATTATTATTATTACTTTTATCGTCACAACAAAATGTTTTTGTATTTTTATTTGTTGCCTCGCTGAATTGAGATTTTACATTACTAACGCAAATTTTGATTGTATTTCCAATGTTGCAATAAATTTAATTTTCCTTCACCATTTCGAAAATGTGCTTTTCACTTTTTGTATAATCAAAATCAGTCATTAATATAATATGAAATCGTGGACGACGTTAAGTGAATAATAAATAATTGATCTGAAGTTAATATGTTATATACTTACATTTATTTAATAATTTTGAATTCATTTCGGATTATGCTCAAGCGACAGAAACGGCAACAATTTCAATATTACTGATAGTTTATGGAAATCAATATTAAATGGGTATCTAGTAAATAAATTTAACTTAGTATAAGTTTTAAAAGTAACATTAAAAATTAATATATATTTACTTCGATGCTGCAGCAGTAAAGCCATAAATAGAAATAGAATTTTATTTCTAAATAACCGATCAAACGCAAATACGAAGTCTGCAATATGAAAGTCCTTAATGAAGTAATTGTCCTTTAAACTTTAATAGCTATTTTTACGTACAATATTAGCTGTTATATTTATTTATTTATAGTATATGGACCTTCTAACAAAACTTGTTTATTTCATTGGCGAAAGTAATTTATTATACAAAATATTGAACTAGTTTTGATTATTATTATTTAATCTACATGATTACTACATTTTAGAAAACGTATTAGTACGTACCTGACTGTAGTTTTTGTTATAATGAATACTCCGCCCAGCACCTCCGCCATATTTTATTAGGTAATTTTCGTTAAATGATTTTTTGGGTGATTTAGTAAGTAGCAGGGGCGCAACAACGTTATAATTTGACTGGGTGTTCACCAAAAAAAAAAGTTCTCATCTTAATATAGATGTAAATGACAAAAAAAGTCATTAATGGAAATAATTGGAAAAATAAAAAAAAACAAGTTCATAATACTACAATAGACTAAAAAAAAATGATCATTTCGGTTGTTCTTTTACGAACTTGAACTATTTGAACCGAGTTATTATCTGAATCGACTGGAATTGACTGGGTGCCCAACCCAATCGAGTGGGTGCCCCCCCTTGTTGCGCCCCTGGTAGGTAGGATTTTATTATTTAAACAAAATAATACAGAACTAGAGAAACGAAGGTTAAAAAAAGTGCCTAATTGCCTCTTCTTTCTAATTCCTTTTCATTTCTAACTTTCTCTATCCACTGTATCCTCATCATGCGCCCGTAATACCGCATTTCCAACGCTTCTCATCTTTTCTTTCCCGCCGCGCCTACCGTCCATGTTTCGCACCCGTACAGCACCATGTTCCAAACACATTCTTTTTCGAATTTTTAAATCAATCTGACTTCTTTTTATTAAAGGCGACTCGACCCTACACTATCCTTTGCTTTATATCCCTACTACTCCTTCCGTCCTAACTTATCTGACTTTCTAGATACCTAAAATCAGTCACTTCTTCTAATCTTTCGTCACCTATCTTTATATTCGCTCTGTCCCTACTTTTTCTTCTCTTGCATACCAGTATTTTTGTTTTACTTTTATTTAAAACTGTCTCTAACTCCTCCTTGCTAGATGCTAATACTGCAATATCATCTACAAATCTAAGCATATTAATCTTCTGTCCCTCTATATCTTTCTCTACAGTTGTACTGTCTTTAATGATGTTGATCGCGTCTTCGATGTATAAATTAAATTACGTTCATTAAATTATATATTTTCATTTGTGTGACATAAAAAGAAAAAATGCCTACAAAGAAATTTCTAATTTCTATGTTCGGTGAATTTCTTGTCTTACCTGTATAATACAGAGAAAACTCTTGTGTGGTAAAATAGTTTTTGACAAAACAAAAATCATTTGGATTTTAGTAATAAGTTGTAAAATGTGATAATGTTTGCATAAGCTTCGTGGAAAAATCACATCTGTGACAATTTCGGGGAGATTCTAACTGCGAGCCAAATATAGCTGGTAAAAGGGTAATTAAGAAGCTTGTTTTCCTTACGACCTAACTGTAGACCAAACCCAAATTTCGTCTGAATTCGTTAGTGTTTACCGTGTACATACAGCAACAAATAAACTTGATTTTTAAATTAACAATTGCCCACCAAGTATTTGGACAGATTGTAGTAAAAACTTTAATTCTACACGTCTCAACATCAATGTTTTTGTAGAATCATGAAGAAAAACTCAAACAGATTGGTACAATTTGATAAATTCTATCAACAAGAATGAATTTGGGCAAAGAGTTAACACAAACTGAAATTGTTCAATACAAAAGCAATAATATTAACGGACACGATTTTATAAGACGTGATAGTTATATAGTTTTTGTGTAGTAGTAAGTATTATTATCTACCACGACCTGTGTAAATGTATTAGCGCATGTAATAACATCTTCATAATTTTACTTACACCCTCTCCTCCGCAATTTGCTCGTTCATTAGGGATGATTTTGACACGAATTTTTCATCGCAAAAAAACATCAAGAACATTAATAAATTTCTAAAAATCTATTTATTGTTTAATCAGTATGTACATTAATTAATGCATAATATGTATATATTTATAAGTTTAGAAAATAATATTAATTTATTAGGAATGTAAGAGAGGGATGCTGGTTGAGTTCACGTTCGAAGACCCATTCCGTTAATCATTATGTTTGCCAAGGCGTTCCTTCTTTTTCTCCATATTCCTAAACCTTGGGCATGAAATTGTAATTCTTTGTACCATGTTTGGGTCATCTCTTCATCTTCAGCCTGATAAAAAAGCAAATTATGTACAATAGCAATTAATCAAGAGTACTGCAATCTAATTAGGTACTACTGCAATTGCTTTCTATTTAACAAAATATAATGGTACCTTGAAAATAAATGTATCCTTTCCAATCACTTCTTGAACTTCGAAATAACTTTGCCATGCTGGATCGGTAGCTATCACACACCTGTCCAGATAAAGGGGATCACGTAAAAGGGAGTATCTCCCATTTTTATCCCTTACTAAAAGTAAAGCGGCTTCCCTTATGCCCGATCCTTTAGGGAATCTCAATCCGTCGTCTTCTAGTCGGTCGGGTCGATTTCCAAAAGGATTCTAAAAGTTATTGTTGTTTGTATAAATGTAATGCAATAAAATAAATAAATGATGCAGATTTGTCGAACACAACGCTCATTTATAATAGAGGGTGATTTAAAAAGGACTTTACAACTTTCAAAAGTTATATAAATTTATTGAGAGAAGCCACAAAACCGATTGTAGTGTCAATTTGTAGGGAAACACATCAACTTTCAAATTTTAACCCGCGTAGTTCACTAGTACTGAATTCCACCGTCGCGTGCGCTAGCGACAGTTGCATCAAAGATGGCTGACTTCACTAGACGAACCCGAAAGTGCTATCTGTGTCTTTTGGTTTGACAATGAAATTTCCGTACCAAGTAGACTAAAGTTTCTCCTAGTAGGCTTAAGTTTATGAATGCCTTAAGTGCATAATAAGAAATCATCAAGTCGTTGAGCAAGTGAGAGAGAGAATGATGAGGATAGCGTGGATAGAGAAGGTTAGACATGAAGAGGTATTAGAAAGAATAAGAGAATAGAGGATTCTATGGAAGTCAATTAAAATAGGCGAGATAGGTTAGTAGGACACCTCAGGCATGAAGGCCTAGTCAGAGACATATTAGAGGCAGATACGGGAGTTAGGAGGGGTAGAGGTAGGAAGGAGTAGAGGTGTGTGTCCAACCAGTCTTAGGAATGACGACCCTATGATGACCATGAATGCATTGAAGTAAAAAAATTCAAAGTATCTCAAAGGGAGACAAAGTTTTGTCAATAGCCCTCCGAAATCGACTCAGCGTGCTTCTCGCGAGCTGTACGTTCCACTGACGACTATTTAGCGTATGTTGAAAACACGTTTGCCTTTGAAACCGTACAAACTTACGATTGTATTTATTAATTGTTAAGTCCTTTTTGAATGACCCTGTATTTTACATTAGTTTGTCCATGTATTATCAATTACCTTTCCATTTGTAACAAGTAAAGCATTAACGGGACTGAGTTTAATCGTTCTTCCCTTCCTCCAGTTATTATCAGTTGGTTGGGTGAAAAGTAACTTTCCTTCCAATGCGAATCTCGCTTCTTCGTGGTTCCATTCGAGCACGTCCACGGCAATCTTCCTCAACTTTATACTAACAAGATCCATTTCGGTGCTGAGCCTCCTTCCTGAACTGCTCCCGATCCGTCTCCATAATTTACTGGGCACGTCTTTTGTTTCCGAGTTCATGTGATTAAGGTGCAGTTCGATCTGATGTTTGGCCTCCATCAGCTGCTCTTTGGTTTCGTGCTGGGCCGGAGTTGCTTTATGCAGACGTGCGAGAAGGAGTGGATATTTTGTGACCCGTTGGACGGGTACCATTAGAAACGAGTTTAGGTTCATTCGCCGCAGCATCGTGTTTTCCATTTGGGACACCCTCAGGAATATGCGTAGAAGTTCCTTGTCCTTTTCTAAACTTGCCAGTAGAAGGCTGGCTCCCGCTTGACGTACGCAGTATGTTTCAAAAGCGTGTAACATTGGGGCGGCTTCCAGAAAAAGTTTTCCAATGTTAACAGTCAATAGATCTTCGTCACCTTGCTCCGCAGCTATCTCGACTGCGTCTCGTAATCTTTCGGCTAATGCCTGACTGTTTTCTAAGAGTTCTTCAACATTCAAAAAGATCGCGGATAATTGATCTTGGGTTAAAAGGCCTGCCACCAACATCGGTTGATAAAATTCCTCTAAAATAATTTGTAGATCCCTGCTGTATTTTTCTTCTGTTTCTACGATTTCGGTAATTATTTCTTTACGTTCTGAACGCCTCTTCATACATTTACGGCACAGTAACGCTTCGCTTTCCGTCTGTATTTCTATTGACGTTTCACAATCTTCACAATTTGACGCAGATTCTTGTTTATTTCTATATTTCGTTAAGGAAACCTTACTCGTTTCTGACCCAACGCCGGAATCGTTTCTTTCGACTTCTGCCGATTTCTGATAAGATGCTTTTTCGTCGCTGAATGTGCAGGGTATTATCAAGGAACTATCTTCACTGGAATCACTTATGGTGCTCATGTGAGAACCTCTATTGGATTCTTTCAACGTTTCTTCTTCAATTACGACTTCCGAATTACCAAAAACATAGCTGTCTTCTGGTACTATTCCGCGTTCTTTGGCATCTACTAAGTAGCTTAATATGTCATACTTCGAAGCTCCTTCAAATATTGATCTAGTAACAAAGAAAAATGAATAATTGAATTAATTTACAAAATGCAACATACCTAGTTGTGATTTGTTTGTCGAGCTGAAGATCATCGATGATATTCTTAGGTGGTGGACTTGTAGGCAATGGTGGAGGTATTTCTATTTCTTCATAAATAGGATCCGCGTTGTTCTTTATGCTTTCGTACTGATGGTCATCTGTTTCTGATAATTCGGTGATAGCTGAGTCCGCTAATAATTCGTAGAATTTCGAACGGACTACGGAATCGTCTTCACCTCCAGAGCTCCTGTTGCTATGGTCTGTGTAGAAATCTGATTCTTGTTCCATGGTTTCGTAATGCATAGATGAGTTCCCTGTATCGGTAGAAGTAATGCTGGAATCTTGCTTCGGAGTTGAGTTTGCCGTTAGTTCATCAAAGTAAGTGCTTCTATGGTGATTATATTTTTCATAATCAGTAGATTTGCAGTTTTCTGATGATTCAGTGAAACTGCAACATCTGGTCAATTTCCCCAGTGGTCTCCTTGTCATGTCTGACTTACCGCAGACATGCGGGACTAAATTCAATTTGACTGCTTCCACAGGATTTCTCAAAATCTCTCTCAGCTTTTTCTCTTCCACTTCTGGATCTTCATACACCACTTTATATTCTTCACGTGTTTGAATCTGTTCTTGTTTTATTTGTTCTTCCGTTATTTCCGCCGATTTTTCTTCTAAATTGTCTTGCTCAAGTAGTTTATCTTCTTTTGCTGGCTGCTCAAAAGACTCTTGCTCAAGTAGTTCAGGTTTTACAACTTTTTCTTCGGCGGTCACTGATTCCTTTAATTCTTCATTTTCGTTCTTCGTTATTGTAGATGATTCAACCAATCTGTGACTGTCTCCGATAAATGGGGTACATGTAACGGTAACGATGCTTTTGTTTTCATAATTTCCATTCAAAATAAACTTATTTGGGAGGATGCTCAATTGTTCGGCTTCTTTCTGTTCATTGGAGGTTTGAATAATTTTAGTATTTGCATCGCTTACAACAACGGAAGAAAGATAAAGGGGAGTATCGTCGCTGACGTTGACGGTTGAATAACAGTTATCCCCATTGATCATTATTGATGTTTTTCGTTGCACATTTTCAATGGCGCAAATATTGTCTGGAATGTCACTTGATGCATAATCATTTTTGATTTGGATTTTGTATGTATCAGGTGCTGAACGTATTTGAACTACTGTTTTATTAGAGGTTGATAAAATAGGTGGCAATGTTGCGGTCTTGATAACGACTTCTTCCTTGATATCCTCACTTTTATCACGTTGAAGCATTCTTTCCATTTCTTGAGGAACAGGAAGTGTATTTTCAGTTGATTCGTTAATAACGTTAAGGATGGTCGGTTTGTTGTTTTTCTTCCTTGGAGGTGCCATTGGAGGAGGCAGATATTGTAGCTCATTTACTATTTTAAGTGCACATTCTTCTTGTTTGTATGCTGTATGCTCTTCCGGTGTTTCATCGTGTTTTATGTGTACTTCCTCATCTTCACTCACAACCACAAGTGATCCTCCAAAATTTATATTGGACTTAATAGTTTCTTCATTGTTTTTCGGAATAGATTCCTCATTTGGAGAATTGTATTCTTCGACTTCTTCAATCTTCGGAGGTGGTAATGGTGGTGGTGGTCTAGAGGGAATATTCTTAGAGAACGATTTAATAAGCGCTATATCCACACTTGGTGATACCAAGACGGAAGAGAAATTACTGCTGTTGCATTTTTTTCTTGACTTTACACGTAAAGCCATAGTGTCATTGAATTTGACGTTTGAACTTTGACTTTCGAATCGCTCACTGATACTTCTCTGCACCCGATGAGGTTTAAAAACTTCTGAAAGATAAAAATTGATTAGCTTCTACTTTAAACAGAGTTTGTAACTTTCTTTACCTTCGTCTAATTCTTCGGATGAAGAAGTCGAACTCTCTGGCGGAGAGAGTTTGGAATCGAACTGTTTTCTGACCGGCTCATAATCATTATTATCGGTATGTTTTACTACTTCGTTCTCGTCCATGAACTGGACCTTTTTCCTGACAGTGTTCGGGAGGTAAAAGTTCGATTTGCTTCTGCGATGGGCAAGTGATCGGTTAGTGTTATCAGAATCGAATGTTGTCTTCTTCAGGATGGATTTGTACGTATCATTACCGTTGGTTTTCGAAACTGGAGTGATATAAGGTTGTTGTTGTTGTGCTGTACCATTACTGACAATTGATAGAGTAGAAGATGAAGATTGGGAATCTTGTTTTGTAGATCCAGAGTTTCTTCTAAAAGAGAAATAATGTTTCAGTATTTTTTTATGTATGTAATTGATCCAGCTGTTTACTTACCGCAACTCATTCATTTCCTGAATTTTTTTCGGTTCCTTAGATTTGTTACTTCCAACATCTTCATAATCGTGTTCTGGTAAAGGAGGTCTCACCCTTATTCGTTGCCCGTTTAAGAATGTAATGGTTTTTTCGTTAACTTCGCCTTCGTCTCCGCCATCGACGAGATCATAAGGATTAATTTCGCATTCGAGGATCGATTTTCGACCTGCTGTTCCATATTTATTTTTGCTGATATTCTGATTGCGAAGAGAAAAGGTATCGTTGCGGAGGCTTTTGCTAGGAGATTTTGCTCGTTTCGAAATCGTTGAATTGGGATCGGAATTTGAAGTACGGGCTCTGTAACATGAGAAAGTTAAGCGAAAACTGATTTTTATGATCAATATGACCCTATTAATGTAGTAGAGAAAGACATTGGAACATTTATAGAAATCGGTACGAAAACCTGATGCAATTTTTACTTCCTTTTTCAATTTTAATTATAAAACAAACTTATTATAACAAAAATGTTTAACCTTTTATTATTGGTTACTAATTTCTTAATAATTGTAGTTGGATGAATTTAGAAATGCAAAAGAGTCATTAATTATTTATTTCTATGATAAAATATGATCTACTTTACGTCTTCCCAAATTGAACCTGTTGGATTAACCTAATCCTTGACATATTTTTCCTACCCTGTCGATGATTATCACTTGCAAAACAGTGTTGTCAATTTACTTCAGCGTAAAAGGAAATCCACGAACTTGGGAACAAAACAGTACCAACATTATTACCATTTATAACATGCAATTACCCTGTCGACATACACTGCTCTTATTCTCATGACTCTTTCGGTAATGAAATAGTTTTAATTGGAATGCGTCCGTTTAAAGAACAAACAGTTTTGACCTTGAATCGATAATTAAATACAATTTTCGCACGTACACCGGTACGGTACGCAATTAATTCGCGAGCAATTCTACAAGCGGATCAGGTCAAAGGCGCAATTGCGCATTAAGTTGGTAATGAACTTTGCAGGTCAATAATAACTGTCGACGCCGTCATTAAATTAACGCCGAATAAATCTCTAATCTCTATTGGGATGCGTCAAATGGGAGGAGCCTAAAAACATGGCGCCGATTAGGGAAAATTTATCGTAGTTCCTATAGTGTAGCGTGCAATTTCCAAGTTTTTAAATTAGGATAAAACGATAAGTATTGACACAATATGTGATTGGGCTGACACAAAGCCTCGGAAAGGAAATTTCGTTGAAGGTGAGTGTGTTTTCAATGCCAATCACTTTATAAAATTCGGAAATAACAAATCCGGAAGCTAACCTTCAAATTCCGTCAAGTGCTATTGCAGCTTTTCACTTAACATATTAACTTTTTATTTGATTTAACTTTAGAAGAAAACTTCGTCGACTCAGTTCCTATGTAAATTTTTCCCTCTTTCGAGTTATAAATTTTGCCACCAGATAGTGTATGCCCATTTGACGGATCCCAATAGTTGGTTTATTTTAAACGAATAAAAAAATTATTCGACAGTAGTCAAAATATTTTCTAATTAAGGACCTACAGCTTCATTGAGAAAAAATAAAAATGTTTAATAACCTTCTCAAATATTCGTATGGATCTGGTCCGGCATTCGGCAAAATACTTGGTCGAGAACTACTGGAAACCCTGGCGGTGCCCGCTCGATACGCGATACTCCCTGAAGCCGGCCCTGGTGCGGTCGGGTAGCATCTCACAGTACCGTATTTGCTGGCAGCATTGGCACAAGGGGGCAAGGGTTCGAGCATATGAAACGGCAATCGGGTACCCTTGCACTTTTTGCACATTGTGGGACTCTTCTTGGCCGACCGCTTCGTACCGTTGATGTATTCTGCGCATGTGCAGAGTACCAGAGCCGGCGTAAGGAAGAATCGTGCGGGAGGCGCTGAACGTACGCTTCCATAAAGCCATGGCTCTGAGACGCGCATCGAACGGGGTGGAGGGAAGTGGTCGTCGCAGTGACGTGCCGATGGGGTTGAGGGGGATGATTGGCACGACGAATCTTCCTGTAAAAGAAGTTTGTACATAGTTATCGCATCTAATTGAATTTCATTTATTTATTTTGTAGATTAGATTGTTAGTATAGTTCAACACGCTTCAAGGCAAAAGGTTTGATTCAATCTTGAGTAAAGGTAGACGTATTCGCTGGTAACGATTGATACACGACGTTGTATTACCTACTGAAAGGAAGCGTGATGCTTTGGTATAAAAATAATATCTTATTTATTCATTGGCCGTTTGGTAAAGTAACGTCGCTTCGGTCGATTCAGTCAGCGATCACAAATTGTACAATTTTATTGCATCTCGCGGAAGTATTTCAGATAGACATCTGCTTGCACGCCGGTTGCAACTGTTGACATGATTGGGAACTGTTGTAAAAATGCATCGGTTTCTGAGCGATTTTATTCGATAAAATTAATGTTTATTCAATGAAGCATTTCGCCAGTTTGCGTTTCAATTCATCACAGGAATGTGCATCTTTATGGTCTTTCATATGTAGGCTTCCGCGGCAGTAACTCGATGTTATATTTCGGTTCTTTCTACTTTTACAAATATGGGTAAACGCATTTTAAAACTTTTCCAGTTTAGTAATTATTTTGTATTTTATCATATTTTACTTTAATTAAGTATGGAGCTGTACGGAATTTTGTGGAATAAATAATAATCTACTTTAAAAAAAAAAATGGAACCATACAAAGAACCTCTCATAATCCTTGCATAAAATCAACTCCCACCAAATTAACTGAGATTAGAGTATAATGTTCTGTATGGTTTTTTGATTAAAATTTTCATGGGTGCAAGGTCAAAGAAATTAAGGATTAAAAGATTTCAGTTTATCTAATGTATAGGTAGAATATTCGATCGATTATCTCTTCACAAACTCTAGAAATGTAGAAATGTTTAATGAGGAGCATTTAATGGTAACCTGTACCGTGATTTTGATAACTATCTCTAAGGTCATTTGGTGGCCTTTAACGTGATTTTGATAACTATCTGCAAGGTCATTTTAAAATGCACTTGGGTTAGTCGGTGAATTATCAACACTGTATATGGCGTGCTAATGAGAACTAATAAGTTCAAAATCTATATCCACATCTGTTGGTTTCGATAAATTACTAACCAATGTTCTCTGTACCTATCGAGTTAATTTTAAATGGTTAAATTGGTTACGTTGCAGAGAAGATCCACGTTTCCGTGAGATGTTCTTTGAATCGGGCATCTCGTAGGTTAATTTTGTTCCGTAAGCGGATTCATTTACAATAGATACCCATCTAATGGCATTCTGGGCTCTTTGATATAACGCGTCCATTAACAATCCACCGATGATGGTGTAATTTATTCTTCGTTTTTCTTTTGCAACGGCCAGCGCGCCAGTTGGCATATAAATAATTTAAATGGCGGAGACCCGGTCGTTGTTGGACGCCATCTAGGGGGAACGCTGCTCATGTCAAACTATCTACTTTTTCGCAACTACGACTAACCTTAACAAAGTAAATTCCACGCAATAATAACTAACCGCATAACATTATAAATTACAGGCTTTTAACCGATGATCATCGAAAATAAAATAATTTGATAAAAAGTCCTGACCAACATCAAGGATAAAACTAATGTTTTAAGTGGTTAAACATATAGTTTACGTAGAATAACAGTAAATACTTTCTTCTCTATCGAGATGAATGGCAATTTCTCTATCCTTCCGAAACAGTAGTTTGTTTTCTGGATAAAAGATACTCTATGTCCTTTTCTGTGCCTCTAATAATGTGTATACAAAATTTTTATGATGATCGGTTAAGTAGTTAAGGCGTGAAACGCTAACAAACAAACTCAGATTCGCATTTATAATATTAGTTAGGTTAGGTTAAGCTGAACCGATTTGGCTGAAAATTGACGGGGAGGTAACTTAGAACCAGGAGACGGACATAGAATACTTTTTATCCCGTTCCCATGCAAAAACAAAGTGGTATAAGAAAACTCAACTGACATGGAATGGCAAAACACAATTGACAGCAAAACGAAAAATTTATCAGTCAAAACATCAGTTTAGCCGTTCATTTGTTAAAAATGGTATAACAAAACTCAATTGACATGGAATAACAAAACGCAACTGACAGCTAAACGTAATGTTGTCTATGGTTAAGTATGGTGTTTTATTTATAGTCAGATTTACCTGAAACTTGGCTTTACTGCTTTTTCATATAAAATTAGTGATATACATATACCTATTTCAACATTTTACAAAATTCTACCTCTTCAGGAAGCTGAAAGGGGTTTGCAAAGATTGCATGTTTCTTTTTGGTCAGATTTACTTGAAACTGGTTAAAAAATTCAATCTCTGTTGGGGGGTATAAGTGATGGTCTCTCATTTAATTTCTGAAAGACGTATCTCGACATTTTAAAAAATTCAATCTCTAAAGGTGTTGCAATGTTTGTTTGGGACATAATTTATTTGTGGTTGAATTTACTTAAAACTTCGTTTATATATGCTGTTTGATATTATTAATCAAATGAAACGTTTCCATGGGGTATATTTTATTTGTACTCGGATTTACTCGAATGTTGCTCATTGTTGAAATTAAGCAAATATATGTTTTGGCAATTTTTAAAAATCAACCCTCAAGGATGAAATATTCCTGCTACGTTTGTATTTCAAATCTAAGATGTCGACATTACATAAAATTAAAACGTTGTAAGGGTGAATTAGGAGTTAATAGGTATTATAGAGAAACAATATTTATTTCGGCGAGCGAAACCGCGGGGAAAAGCTAGTATTGGAATAAATATGACTTAATTCAGAGGCGTAACGTAAAGGGGGCGCTTGTCCAAGCTGATACTTCGTTAAGGGGCAGTAAATTTTGAAAACATTTCTGAATACAAATTTTACTAGATAGGTATGTATCTATATTTACCAACTAAAAAATAATTGCATGGTTCCGTTTTCCTAGTGAGTAGGAAGCGGACAGTTTCGATTTTTAATTGATGGTGATTGAGAGACCCGGCGGTAGAATTAACCTTTTCCCCGATGGATGAGATGTAAGTAATTCAGGATGTTATTGTTCGTAATTACTCTCCGTCTGGCTTATCAGCATGGCCGTGTACAACTACATCCCAGTCTATTATTTAATGTGACACCGGAATCCATAATCTATAAATTAATGCGCGAACATATGAGCGGTTATTTACAGTTATGGAATTATTATTATTATCCCGTGGCGTGCAAAACAACGGGTGGGTGTAGGAAAGAAACGTTTTACTACAAGGAAAAAATGTTGACGGATAAATTGCCCCTTTCGTACATGCGAGACGTTATTTCGCGTTAGTTGGGCTCCGGTTCCACACATTACAATATGTAAGTGTGCACAATGATTCAAATGTACAAGGTGGGTGAGACATTTTAGACACTGGTGTAATAAAATCATTATTTATAATCGTGTATTTAGTAAAGAACAACGCCATATATCATGAGCTACACAAATGGCGTTAGGAATTACGTTGAATTAATGGGAAAACCAAAATATATATGTCTACATATAGAAAATATTCTACACTAATATTTTCCTGTGGACACTTACGAATAATTTTAATGAGAAGTGTATTTTTTATCAATATGAAAAGATAGTTTGTATTAGTACAGTCTATTTCAATTTGTTAGAATTGTGACCTTGAAGAAATATTCGCGAAAATAGAAAGAATACACACTAGGCGTGAGCAAGACAGAAACGGTTGGAGCACGCTTGAACGAGCAGAGCTCTCGATGGGCGGTCTTAGGAGATCGGCTAGAACTGTACAGTACTAGACGAAAATGTTTAGCAATTTCTTAAAACAAAAATGTATATAAATTAACAGTAGAAAACAAATCAAAAGTTTTATAGGTGTATAGAGCGTTAAGTTAATTCACTTGTTATTATTTTTGGCTAAATATGCTTTTAAATAAAGCATATTATTAAATTTTAACGAGGCAGTTTAAATAATTTTGCAAGTGGCACTGTACACTTTTGTCTAGTTCTCGCTCTATGATCGGTGGAGAAATGAGCTCCGCAGACAAATATGATTGAATTTGGAATTATGCTTCAGCGCATGCTAATAAAGGGAAGGGGTACATCTCTAACTTCCTGAAACGAACAGTACTGAGTTTGAATCTGGTACTGCCGCGTACACATAAAACCTAATTTATTCCAGACTTTTTACTATTATTACAGCGATGATAATCCATTAGACAAAATGGTTCAAGTAGTAAATTAATTCAGTCCAAAATCCATCAAATTTTTTATTACCTTAATCAAACCATAACAACTAACTTGAAATTATATTATAAACTAACAATATGTTTGGTATTTCCCTTGTCTAGCTGAAGTGATTCATAAAAAAAAACTTAAAAAGATAAAAAGAATATTCAGAAACGAACAAATTTTCTGTTTCCTTTGGCATAAATGATATTTAGATTTTAGATGTTTTGGTGTTTAATGCGTATTTCAACTCATCATTAATTGTTACTGAAATAAATACATATTAGCTCAACCCACTCTTCAACAAATATCATTCAAATAATTGTGTTAAATAAGCACAGTTTGCTATTATTAAAATCCATCTTTTCAAATTTGGTGAATGTAGCTGGCAGAATTATTCCATTGGCGTTTATCAATTCTCTAACATTTTCTCTTATAAACATTTCGTATATAACTTAAGCTTGAGTTTCGAGAACGGTTTACTATATTAATAATTAATTCAAATAGTATAAAATGCATCATGCACAAGGTGTAGTTTCTCAATTTTTGCTAACACCTCATTCCTTTGTTACAGGTAAAGATCATCATGTTCTATTCACAGATCCAAAACAATGAAGAAAATTGTATTTTGCTACCTGAAGTAAGTTTTTTAAAAATGTAATGTAATATGTTTAATCATGATAACTATTTTTAATCATTAACCAAAAACAAGGTACATTTTATTAATGACCAAAGGTGGCAAATAAGCTACAGGTAACTGTCACTGTCCACACAGTTGCTTATGAAAAACTGAATGCCCCCAAGGGGGGATAAATGCCCTAAATGAGGGGCAAAATAAAATGCTATTTTGTAATTTTCTTAATGCCGTCTCCTAATGGTAGCCAAGAAAGAAGAAAAATGAGAAAAATGGAACCAATTATTTTGAGCGCCCGAAATGTAATGATTTTTCAGGTTTTTTGAATTGACAATACAAGGAAATTCTCCCCAATTTTTTACTGATTATTACATTTCTAAAGCAAAAAATTGGATATTATTTTTTCATTAATTCAACATAGTATTCTGGAAACTCCTATTAGATAAAAACTGTTACGCGGAGCAGCTAAATTGCTACATCTGGTCCTGAATGGATTATATGGTGTACATTCCAATTTTAATTACAAAGTATTTTAGAAGCTTCTTGAAATTAATTCAGAGAACGGCCCATTGTTTCCTTTAACAAAAGAAACTTCACTGTCGTATCAACGGCTATTACAGTCTCTTTATTAAGAGTCCTTAATAATATCATTCCGTTTGTCTCGATTCCATGCCTGCAATCTGTCACTGTGATGATTATCAGACAATAAATGAACTGTTTAATAACGGTTCTATTCAATTCGCAATTATACAACAGTAAATCAGTAAATTATTACGCATACGTTATGCGTAAACTATGAAAATAACCAATAGCCGTGTGTTTCGACGAATGCCCGAAATGGTACAGGTAATTTAGAATGTCATGAACCTTGGGTTCGGACTGCACAATGACAAAGCTACGCTCGTTGAATTGTTGCTACATTTGCACTTCTTAAAAACATTGGTCGACACTGTTTACAGGTAAACTATGACCAGAGTTCTTTTCAAACTTTAGAAAAACATAGTTAACAAAAATTGAATGCTTAAAAAGAAACATACATCACCTCGCCTAAGCTAAACTAATTATTAAAAAATTTTTGAAGTGATTGTTATCTGAAGTTTTAATTAATGATTCAAGCAATATCCAATTTTTCACAAGAAAAGACGAAAATCATTCCAAAAATATTTAATAGGTATGTAACACAATGTATGTTGGGGATGAGTTAGGCTAGGTTAGTTTTTTTTTTAATGTTCGACTGCTTGCGATCTAAATTCGAAAAGAATGCTTAAGTGATGTGGTAATTCCACAATCCCACTTTTGGACTTTGGATACAGGTGTCTAAAGTTACATTTAAAAACATCCAATCCTAGAATTAATGAGAACTACGACTAAAAGGTACGACTATCTGTGGCGCATGGTTACTGTTAGCAAATTGAAAACAGTTTTTTGTATATTTCTCTAAAAATATAAACATGATTAAATTAACAATTAAGTAGTTTACTAGCATTCTGATCACTACTTATAACTTGCTAGTATTTTCATTGACATTTCTGACAAAATACGGACAAATCGAAGTTAAGTTAATCTGGTTAATAGCAATATTAAAAAATAGTAGACAGGGTGGTAAGCATCATCTAAATTACGAATCTTGTCAAAAGAAAACTGGCTGCGCATGCTGTCTACAGTAATTCACTTTTAATAAAATTTATCTATCAACCTAAAAAAATCTGCAGATAATACTGTAGGTTGTGTATGTAATTCTTGTGATTAATAGACAATTTGCCGTATGTACAATTTATTTGTCTGGCCTTTGGTGTACAATTACATGGACATAAGTACATGTGTGCCTAATAACTTACCCCTACGCGATGGACGAAGTAGTTACCACTGGGCGAAGGTGGGGAATATCGTCGCATCGCATGACTTACTACTATAGTCATGGAAGCGTTGATATTTTACCATACCACAGCTGAAACAAAAAAAATTACCTACGTTAAGTACTGTTTTTGTCATTATTTTACATAATTCTTAAAGCAATTTCAAAGAACTAAGCAATTAACAAAAGGTACAGCAGGACACAAGAGGTCAACATCCTGTCGAACTAAAAAAAAGAGGTGCATTTATATAAAAACATTATAATTATAAACCGTCTAAATTATTTCACGGTTGTTGTCTGAAGGAACTTGGTTTCCGGATTCTAACAACGTTTTATTGATGAAATGTGTTCGACGTTATTCTACATCTTCAGGAACATCAGCAGCTACGTTGGAGATCCTGCATTGACAACGTAAGGTTCTTGAAGATGTGATAGGAGGCAAAACGTTGCCACCATGATCCGTCATGGTGATTTCATCAATAAGACGCGGTTACAATCCGGAAATCCAGTTTCTTCATTTAAATCAAGTCTAATATTAGTTCACGAATACTTAGCCAAAAAAATATCCTATTTCGCAGTTGAAATATTTAAATATTATATATTTCACTCTTAATTAGTTAGTTAATAACAAACTTTATACCATTTGTATTAGACAAACATGCAGCATGAACGAAATTCATGTTCTAATTGTTCTAAATAGAAAAGAGTTGTTTTAAGCATTCTATCAATCATTTTTATAGAAAAAATATCGATTGCTACCGTCAATTAATATTCGTTTCTATAGGCGATGGTATGGTTTGTTCATGGTATACGGAGGTAGTTAATATGCAGGCACTATCATGAGGGGCGGGAGTTCTGTTATGTGTTGTTGACAATATCGCGATTTTACTGTATTTGCAATGAGTTGTTTGTTTGTTAAATGAGTTCCTGTATGTATTATTACTGTTTGTACATATATGTATGTGTCCATAAACATACTTATGTTTTTATGCATGATTATAACAATGAACAACGGCAACGACCACGGAGACGTGTAGGTAGAAAATGAAAGTTGTTTTGTTGGATCTTTCGAATGAAAATTATCGAGCGCCACACCGTAAAATGCAATGTGTAACAGGACCTCGTTCTTCCGTCATTTACAACTCAAAAAGAAGATCAATTACTAATAACTGGTTTTTATAATATCTATTCACATTTAAATTGTTTCGATCATTTGTTTAAGTTATTGTTTTCATTGTCAACCCTTGCGAATGTCATATAAAGGTATGTAACCTGTGATGTACCGCCGAATTCAATGTAAAAGTAGATATTAAGAATTACAGTGTATACTCTTTATAACGTCACTCGATTTAACGACAAACTGTTTAAAAGGTTGAAATTGCTTGACTTTGGTTGGTTTACATTGTTTTCCATACAATATACACTATATATAGCGTCACGCTCACTCTATTTAACGACAACAATGCGGCATTATAAATCACTGAACAGTACTTTCTAAGTTGCCGAAATAGATAAGAACTGCAGCTGTGTACGTGTACCAAGCATCAAACAACCACTTGATGCAGCGAAACTATTAAAAAAATACTTTTTATATAATCAAGTTGATCCAGCAGTATCTCAAGATATGAGTAAGATACGTAACAAAATACAATTAAAATATTGGAGCAGCAAAAAACATCAGACGAAGATAACAGGCTATACGCAATGTATGAATAATAATGTTCGTGTGCAAAATGTGTACTATATTGGTAAATGCATATTATTATAGAATAGTAAAATAATATCTTTTATTTCTCTCCATTTAACGA